AGGTGTGTGTGTGTGTGTGTGTGTGTGTGTGTGTGTGTGTGTACTATGTATTAAACCATAATTACAAATGAAGAGGTCATGAATTCAAGAGGAGTTTGGGTGGCAGGACAGGAGTTGAAGAAGAGAAGGAAGAGGAGAAATGATATAAAATCAGTGTACTTTTATATCAAATTATTTGCAAATTGACATTAAAAATGAATGAGTTAATTGATTTTGAATTCTATTCTTTACTTTGAGCTTGTGTAATGTTTTTCATTAGTATCTATTTTGTTTGTTACTCTGTACTTTATAATAGTGATAGTACCTTAAGCCTAACTATGTGGTCTGTTTAAAAACACATTAAAAATGTGTGCATGGTGGCACACACCTCTAATCTAAGTACTGAGAAGCTAGAGGCAGGGATGCTCTCTCTGGGTTTGAGGCCAGCCTTGTCTATATAGTGATACCCAAGCCAGTTGGAGTTGGGCAGTGACCCTATGTCAAAAACAAGCAAGCAAACAAACAAACAACGCATGAAAAGGGCTGGAGAGATGGCTGAGCAGTTAAGAACTATAGTCAGCTTTTTCTTGGACCAGCAACCAGCTCACATATAAAGACACAGAGATTTATTAATTATGAATGCTCAGCCTTAGCTTAGGCTTATTCCACTAGCTCTCTTAACGTAATATTAACCTGTTTCAATTCATCTCCATTTTGACTAGGGGCTTTTTACCTTTCTTTCATTCTGTATGTTGAACTTGCTTGCTTACTCTGTGTCTGGCTGACTGTCCTGTCCTTTCCTTTTCTTTCTTCTTCTAGTACTTAAATTCCTCCTCTTATTTACTCTCCCTGCCTGGAAGTTCCTCTTATACCTCCTCTCTCCCTATAGACCATTCAGCTTTTTATTAGACCAGCCAGATGCCTTAGGCAGGTAAGGTAAAATAGCAACACATCTTTGTTAAATTAAACAAATGCAAGATGTCTTTGCATAGTTAAACAAATGCAACACATCTTTGCATAGTTAAATATTCCACAACAAAGAGTAATTGATCAGAGCACTAGGGTTTATTTCCCAGCGTCCACATGATGACTTATAAGCATCGATAACTGATGTTCTGACTTCTATGGGTAACAGGAACATACAAGGTGCAGACATACATTCGGGAATAACATTCAAACACATAAAATAAATGTTTTTTTTAACGCACATCAAAGGCCAGTTTAGGCTTGCCTAAAACAGCTGTTCTAGGATATGAGATTTTTATATTTTTCTTTACATATGTAATATGAGATACAATTTCTGACAAACATGTATTTATCAAAACATAATGAATTCAAATATCAAGATTAAATTAACACACTAAGGATGCTATCTTATCGTAGAGATGATAATATCTCTAGTGAAATCATCCTCTTGACCATTCAGAGCTCTCATTTTAGACTAGGAAACAAAGCAAAGAATGTTGTCGAGCCTTACTAACATATACAGACAAACACAAGGAGGGAAGGAAGATATCAAAATGTGTTTCCTAATGGTAGATACAATCTTCCTTTATAGAGAAAATGTGGTACATTTACAGTGGAATACTGAAATTTTCAGGCAAATGGATGGCACAAAAAGAACCCATCCTGAGTGAGGTAGCCCAGTCACAAAAAGACAAACATGGTATGTATTCTGTCATGTATGGATTTTAGACATAGATCTGGGGGAGTTCCAGCCTACAATCCCATGGCCAGAGAGTCTGGGAAACAGAACCTTCATTCAATGGCTGATGGAAGCAGAGGCAGACTCCCACAGCTAAATACTGAGCTGAACTCAAGAAATCCAGTGAGCAAAGGGGTTAAGACTGGGCTGGTTTAACCCCCAGAAACAGCTGACCTGACTGATGGCTGGGAATCCAGCATGGGACTGATCAAGACCCCCTGAATGTGGGTGTCAGTGAAGAGGCCTAGGCAGTCTATTGGGCCTTGGGTAGTAGATTAGTATTTATCGCAGGAATGCAAATGGACTTAGGGTGCCATCCAACAATAAGAGATGCACTCTCACCCTGGACTCTTCCGGGAGGGTCTAGGTCCTGCCCTAGATGAAGTGACAGATTATGGACATCCCCATGGATGGCCTCACCCTCCCCTGGGGAAATGAGGGCATATTTGGGGGATTGGTGGAAGGGCATGGGAGGAGGGGAGGGAAAAGGAGAGGGACCTGGGATTGACATGTGAAGCAACCTTGTTTCTAATTTAAATTTAAATTTAAAAAAAGCTAAGGTATCTACAGAACACTCCCAGAAACAGTGATTGACTTTGGCTACATTGCAGAAGACAAAGCCAGGATTTATGATTCAATTATATTTCAAATGCTAAAATTAAAAAAAAATGGTATCAAATTTACTTCAGAAAGCACCAACTATTTGGAGATACAACAAAAAATTGCTTAAGGTCTTTGATCTGAGAAAGTAACGATTAAGTAAAGGCAGACATATCCCATGTTCATGGATAAGGTGAGATCATATGGTCAAGATGGCTTTTCAAAGCAATTCCAGATCCAACTCCAGTGTGGTTTCCTGGAGAAAATGGCCAGATGAATATACAGTCTAAATGCAGATGCAGAGGAAGGAAATGCAGAGGTCAAAAACTCATCACCCAGTTTCAGGACTTACTGTATAACAGCCATAGGAGTATTGCATTGGTAGAATTGTAAACACATCTTGGTGTAACAGACTGCAAAGTCCAGAAATCATTCCAGAAATGCAGAATCAGCTGATTTGCCACGGCGTAGTGAAGTAATTTAGGGTTTGTAAAGAACAGTCTCAGGAAAACAAAAACAAAAACAAACAAAAAAGAACAGTCTTTAATAAATAGGGCTGAAATCACTGGCTACTTGGAAAGAAAAAAATCTACTCTTATGATGCATTGTGCCTGAATATTAAATTTACTTTTGAGAAGAAATTTTAAATTAAAGGAAATAAGATTTAATCATAAAGTTAGCAAAAAAAACCCTTAAGAATTAGAATTCATTCAAAGACATCATTTTATTTGCGTGTGATTCGGCAGTTTATTCATAAAAATCTTATCAATATGCCATTGGCACGTCTGTGTTTATTATTGTGTTGACAAATAGACGACAAGAAGACTTGACAACTTCATCACATAGGAAGTCTGAATTCATTTCCACATGATATTGTAGATGGTCATCTGTTGAAGCAGAAAATGATGATTGTTTTACAAAAATCATAGACATAATTTGAATAACTTTGATGGTAAATCATAAACTCAGAGAGTATAATAGATTAAACACATGAATACATAAATGGACATCTTGTGTGTATACATATCTGCAAGACACACAGAGAAAGATATGTACAAAACATGTTAATTTGCCTCAGTCATAAAGTTAAACAACTCAATTTTTAAAAATGGATAAACTTTTGCAACGATATTTCATGGAAGAGATCTGGATGGTAAAGTGTGAATGCTTAGCCATTGTCCTGAGGGCAGTGACACCAGCCGAAGCCCCCCAGAGTGACTGATGCTCCACAGGCTGCCAGCACCAGGATTAGTAAGGATACACACAGGCATGGGTCTGGTGCGCTGTGAGGAGTCTAAGAGTGGTACCCTTTCTTCAGGAGACCACTTAACAACTCTTTGGAAAGTCACACATGCATTTGCCATCTGACTCAACTCTATTGTTAATTATTTGTAAAAGGAGAATGAAAACATGACTATAAAGGCTCGCATGCAGATATTCATAATAGCTTGATGCTTATTATCTAAAATCCATCTAAATTTTATGACTATTAATACAAGAATACACGGTCCAAATGTATATCCCGTACAGTAAAACATTCACTAGGTACCACAGATCCACTTGAGTGAAACTCCAGAAGACTATTGTGGAACCAGAGTAAAGGCGTTTTCTAGAATGCAGTATGAGAAAATGCTTTGAGTTGATAGAAGTTGCCCGTATTTTCATTGCAAGAGTGATCACAGGTCTATTCTTTTTGAACCAAACACTTAAAATAGACGTGTCTTATTGAATATGAATTATATTTGACAAAGAAAATCTATAGAATCCTTTTTATACTTGACTCACAGAGGTAAGTGAGATAATGAACATCCAAGCTTAATTCTAAGCCAGGTCTTGTTTGAAACTAAGTGAACGTGTTTTGGAAAGGCAATTAACTAGAAACATCTAAAAGAATTTTGATCTTCAGTGTCCTTATACAGAAAATGGTGATTTATGGTTTATGACTGAATTAAGACAAAATCCTATAGTCAAGGTGTATTTATCAATTAAGTGTAGAAAAGACTAAGCATCACTTTTAAAATAATGATACTAAGTGATATTTAGAAGCCATATGTTGTAGACATATTATATGCATTTTTGAAAAATAGTATCCTACATTTATGTGAAAGGATATAAAATATTAAATAAAACACATTATACTGGCAAGGGCTGATCATCTCTCTCTTACACCCCCACACACACAATGGGTTAATAATACCATCTATTTTTATAATTTCTCTTTTTAAAAACAAATTACAGCAAAACCATTTCTCCTCCTTGTTACCAAAGTCTTAGTAACTCAGCAAAAGTCAGTGTCCCTCCATTAGTCACCCAGTGTAGGGTCTACTGCAAAATATTTTCCAAGCAGTATTTGCAATATTTTGGGACATTGTTGTAGAAATGTTTTAGATCATCAGGTACAGGAGACAATGTCCTGGCTTCCATTACTTAAGTCATCAAAATGTGTAAAATACTACAGGAGAGATTACATCTGTTACAGCTTTCCTGCCTGTTAATTCTTCATGGATGGTCCTTTATTTTCTCCCTTCTCTTTCTTTGCTTAGCTGTGTGTATAAAGTCTCTTCTCTGGGTGAGTAAATCTATCATCTCTTAGCTATATGGAGTACATAGGTCATAGTACATTTTAGTCTTAATAGACTCTGCTCTGGCTTCAGTGTGGCCATTCTTCTTAGTTGCCTGATTGTGACTGCATTACCCTCTGTTAACCTTTCTACAGGTTCATTATTGGGCGAGAAAAACCAGGACAAGTGAGCGAGGTTGCCCAGTTGATAAGCCAGACCCTGGAACAGGAGAGGCGCCAGAGGGAGCTGCTGGAGCGCCACTATGTCCAGTATGATGCTGATGATGATGAGGTAGGGACCAAAGCTGTGTCTTCCTGAATGTCTCACCATGTTGCTCCTGTATCAGGGTCTTTGCAGTTTCCTAAGGAGGATGTCATCTACACTGAGCTAAAATTCGACCTCTTGGAAAAGAAATATCACTTGTACCTGATAGTCTCTTATAAATTGATTCATTATGTCTGGAACACCGTGGAAGCAAAACAGTCGTAACTTTTAACACACTACTGAAAAGAAATTCTTAGAAACAAGCAGAACCCATATAAATAATGGCTGTCTGTATTGTTGGAATTAGATTGTTTTTCTTTCTGTTTTATATGTTTTCAATCATTCCCAAATGTTCTAGAAAATATGTATTACTTTTTCCCTTTGGAAGAATCAGTAAAACATTTAAACGAATACACACACATACACAAGCAGAGACAGAAAAGCACGGGAAACGGCTGAGGTTTTCCAGAGGTTCCCCCTCACCCCAGGAAGAGAAAGTTTTTTGGATGTGCTCAGAGTGATCTGTGCTAACATAATGCAGAGCAAAGCATTTCCACTAGTACATGTCCCATGGCACAGGTACATATTGGAATGATCTTGCATCCTGAGCTCTGTAGAAGATCAAGTAAATGAGTCAACACTAACCCCCGAGTGAACACGGCTCTCCGGAACCCTGCGTGTTGTAATGAGACACAGACGCTGAACTGTTTCTAATGTCAATGCCAAGTGCACACTGATAGGCTGGGACAACACACTTTATTACAAACACATTCAAATGTGCATATGTTTCACATTGCCATGTCAAAAGATTCATCAACAATTTAGTTGTAGTATTTCATACTTCATAAATGTGTAAATGCCTAGATAAAATAAATATTCTTTATGTCAGCTGATATAGCACAGTGAGATTTCATACCTTCAACTTCTTCCCATATGAATATATTATTTATCCAGACTATGTTTTTGCTTTCATCTAGGACACAGCAAGAGATTAATGAATGGACATTCAGGTCTTTTTCATGTAAATTTTAATTTCGCATGTCTTAACCCGAATATATATATATTAAATTTTCATGTGTTTGAAGTATCATGAGGATACATTCTCCATTTTTTATGTTAGAAAATTGCAGATAGAATATCAAGTAACATTTTGTTTTGTTCTGTTTTTGTTTGTTTCTTGAGACAGGTTCTCCCTATGTTCAAGCTGGCCCAGGTTGTCTTTGAACTCACAGCAACCCTTTTTCCCTCAGCCTCCCCTCTTCTGGAATTACAAGTGTGAGCCACATACTTGGCATCAATTAACATTTGATGGAAGAATAATATAGTAGAGAGATTGTCCATGGCTGAAATCATCTCTTAGAATTATTTTCTCTATTTCATTTTGCATTGTGGAATACATTTGACAAGAATTTTCTTTTTGTACTGGAAAACTGAGCCTAAAAATACATTATCTAAGATTTTGAAACTAAACACAAGAGTTCCTCAAATATTTGGCCTAGTTTTCAATTCCCTACTCTAGTGTTTTGTGTTGTGTTAGAGGCTTCTAGGCTTTATTTTGTAGAGGTTTAGATTTTTGCCTCTCTCCTGTTATAGGAAAGTTTTGTAACCGGTGGTTCAGGGACTATGGAGACAAAAAGAGTAGATAAAGAAGGGGCTCAGCTAAGGCTGTGTGTTTGTAATACGAGGGACATTGAACACTTAGAAACTTGCTTTGCCATAGGCAGCAATGTTTAAGTATCATCTACACAGTCTAAAGAGAAGCAGAAATGTTTTAGAGAAAAGGTTGTGTGGATGTTCTCATCCTTTTATGAGTTGGAACAGCTGAACTCAGAAGCTCACTATTGTGTTAATGCAAGTAACCTTGACCTCCTTGAAGTCAGCCTCTTCCTCCGTGTTTTCTTTCAGTGTTCTGCTTTTTTAGGTGTGCCGCAGAGCCTACCCACAGCAGGCACGGCCAGAAGCAGCCCTTCACTTTCTGTTCACAGGAGAGATGGAAGCTGTACAAACAGTGAAATTTTACTCCATTGTTAGAACTTTCAATGTTGGCACTTGATTCAAATTTTTAATTAACGCTACCAAATATTAAGTTGGAGGATTGGAGTGTTATCTCTGTTTCCTGTTTACTCTCCTCCTCTGTTAATGAAAATTGTAAAATGACCAAGATGTGAGGGAAATGAGAAGGCCCAATATTGGATATCCAATGGATAGATGGGCCTTGAATAATTGATTTAATTTCATTTTTAATTGAGCAGTTTATTGATTTGCGTATCTTTGTTAGGACAGGCCTGAATATGTACCATCAGTCACAGGGCTTTTCGCTTCTCTTGTAATTTGCAGAATCTTCTTGTAATTTCAAATTTAGAATCATTTGATTTGCTAATATCTCCTGTGACCTTGCCTGGACACAGCCAGGAAACCCTCTGATTACACAGAGCAACCAGGTTCAACTAGCTACTTCCCAAGCGAGGCTGAGATGAGGTTACCCACAGAAGGGTGCAGTGCTTCTGGTTTTGATCAAATTATACAAGGTTCATTTTAACTTGGAGCACATCACATTGGCAGGTTGCTTGAATTGGCTGTACAGGAAACATCTGGACGTGAGAAATATTTCCTGCAGTTGTTAAAGGACACTGGCCCTTTGTGAAGGGAGAGATTGTCATTATTACTTACGCCTCTGTTCATCTGCTGTAATGCCTTAGCAAATTATAGTCATGCTCGAATAGAATTTGAAATGTATAGATAATCCTCAAACTAGTTAAATTTCTGCTGCTTCTGCTCTTCTCCAAATATTTAAACTAGAAGAGTTTCCAATAAGCAAACAACCAATTCTGTTTGAATTTGCATTCCTGTTTCTGGGCACTCTCTGTTAAGCATTCTAATTTGGAAAAGCACAAGTGGCCCTACCTGAAGGCCAAATAATAGGAGGGAATCCCCCAAAGAACAGGAGATGGGAATCCGAAGGTTGGAAGAGTCACATACATGGCACATCTGTGATGAGTGACAGCGCATTTCTAGGTTTAAGAGACCTGTTTTTGTTGCTGTTGTCTCCCTCCCTCCCTCCCTCCCTCCCTCCCTCCCTCCCTCCCTTCCTCCCTCCCTCCCTCCCTCCCTCCCTCCCTCCCTCCCTCCCTCCCTCCCTCCCTCCCTTCTTCCTTCCTTTTCTCCCTCCCTCCTCTCTTTCTTTCCATTTTGAAAGTTAGCCATGGAGGATTCAATAAACCCCTCAGTTAACACGGTGCCATGAAACTTAGTGTATGGTAAAATTTTCAAGTAGAAATTGACAGCGTTTGATCCCCCATTATAATCTGTAACTGTCGATGTTCTGCTGGTTGTGGCTAGGTGACATTCTGTTACTTTTTGTGGTATGTGTTTATATTTTTGGCTATATTTCTACATAAGAACATTGTGCAGTTTGAAGAGCTGTGTGCTCACCCTGGAAACAATACTAACTGTAGTTGTGTGTCTTCTGGTTCACAAAATAGACATGATCACACCGAAGTTAAAAGAATTCAGTTTACAAGTTCTTTTAACATGCTATGATTATTTTACTTCCTTAAAGATCCTTTGATAAGGTAGTATTTATCACTGTGTAAAGCCGTTTATCACAAATGATATTTCAACCTCACTTTAGGCAGCAGATTATAACATGATTAATCATTACCAGAAAACAAAGTTCTGCCTTAAAATACAACTTATTCTTTTCCTTTATTATTTGTTGTTGTTACTAGAAATTCATGTCATTATAATAATATTGTGACACTTTGTCTCTTAGAATCTTTTCATGTATTGTATGCAATTTAAAGCAGCTACCAACAGGAACATTTTTTTTTATTATTCCTTCTGTTAACGTTTAACAATTGGAAGCAAAAATGTAATGGAAATTGTGGTTACATAAGTATTTTAAAAGGTTTACAAAAGTAATTTTTTGTGGGGAAAACATCATGGCTAACACTGAGTTTGACTCAAGCTGTTTGCTGTTCCTGGTTGAAAGCAGTTGGTTCTATATGAACAAGAGACAGAAATATTTGTTGCTAGTCTTTTAATACTGTGACTATATCAATGCAGAGAGATGTAGTCCTGTGTCCCTGCTCTGGGAAAATGAGCATGGAGGTATAGCAGGCTCTTGTTGGTACTGGACAGTGTGTGGTCCAGCTAACACTTGAACCTTGATGTATTTCTGTCCTGCTGTCATGGGGTTGGTAGGAAACCTTCTTTAATTTTTTCTGTCAACATTTTAGAACACTGTGGCTGAATTGCAAGGAATGTCTGGCAACTGCAATAACAATAACAACCGTTTCCTTAAGGTTTGTTTTTTGGCAGAAAAATCTGCTCATCTGTACTCTCTTGCTTGGTGTGTAAAATTAAATATTCTACACGTCTTATTAACTTCCTATTCCCTGAAAAGCGTTTCTGGAGCTGTGTGTTTTATGTGGTGAAAAATAACCTGAAAATAATGGTTTGAAAAATATAACATTCATTTTATATACAGGTCTGTAAGTTAAACCTACTTCCTAATATTTAACAATGGGTGTATTTAACCCCTAACCCCTTAAATGTTTTGTGATTCACATTAAAGGGAAAACTATACAAAGAAACTCAGTATTAAGGCTATATAATATTTATGTAATGCGGTGTGCATAGCAATTTATCTCCTGCTTAAATCTTTTTATTACCAAAAGAATCTTCTGATACTAAGTTCTTAAGTTTTCACTGTATGTTTGGGTGAACATACAGGATAGACAAACCACAAACAGTATTGAACTTTAAGTAGTCATAGCAATAGTGGCTCCTACAGGAGAATGATGTGTAGTTAAGACCTTCATGAGCTGATGATAAGAAAGGTCTGACTCACAGCACAGAACTAAACCTAAGAGTGGTACAGAGGCTGCGATTTCCTTGGATCTTTAAAATTCTTAAACTGTATTGTGTCGTTTCTAAACCTCAGATTTTTACTGATCTCCATCAATGAAACCCAGAATCATGAGATTCTTAGAAAAGAGGCTTCTGAAGACTGTCGTCCCATACCTCACTATGAATTTCAATAATAGTCTTTGTGTATAACACTGATCACAGGTAGTGAAAAGTCAGGGCCACAGATAGTAAGAGTTAGGACAGGAACCTTTGCCTCAGCTTAGTCATCCTTTTGTATCTCATTTTCTTTGTGTGGCTTGCAAGAATTATAGTGGAAGTGTTTTAATTATATTTTTCCTATCCGTTTCTTTCTAGCTGCCACAGTATAATATTAGTCATTTCTGAGCTAGATCCAAAAACAACAGAAAGCCTACTTTGTCAAATCCCTCTAGCCAATAAATTTATCTGAAAGCATAGACTTTGTCTGCCTAGCAGCCTGATTGAGTGATTCTGTATCGCATTGAAAAACACAGAGCTTGGAGTCCAAGGAGGTGGCATGGGGACAAGTACAAATGATATTTTCCAACTTGGAAAATGTTTTCCTTTGTAAATTCAATATAACTTTTACCAAAAGACTTCTAAAGTGCTGAATCACAGAAAAAAACAGACCCTTCTGCCCTGGGAAGCCAACTTGCCTTCTATTGGGCTGCCAGTGTGCTGTGGTAGGCTCTGCCTTTTGTCTACCTTGACTGGCATTTACGGTGTGGACACTTGGGTGCCCTCGCATGTCTACTTCACCTTATTTGCCTTTCAAGGCTCTGTGTAGGCGTCATCTACTCACCAAGCCCGCTGGGGCTCTCTCGGGAGCTAAACTCAGCATCTTTTGTATTTAATGAGCCAATAGCACCATGGGTATCGCTACATTTTGTAGCTCATCTGTACCTTCCATTAGCTTATTATCTCATCAAAAACAGGTATCCATGGCTAGATGATTTCTACTTTTCACAAGAATGACCCACCCCTGGAAAAAGTAGACAAAACAAAAAAATTGAATTATATGAAGGTAAAATTGGAGAACAGCTTTAATTTGCATTTTCCTGATGGCTTAGGATGTTGTACACTTCTAATAAATATTTCTTATCACTGGGCATAATGATGCAAGCCTTTAATACCAACACTTCGGAGGCAGAGATTGATGAATCTCTCAGCTCAAGGCTAGCCTGGTCTATAGGGTAAGCTCCAAGATAGCCAAGACTACAAAGTGATCCTCTCTTGAAAACCAAAACAAAACAATTTTTACCTGTTGGATATTTGTTCTTTTGAGAACTCTGTTCAGTTCCACAGCCCATATTTTTAAGTTGGATTGATTATTTTCTTAGTGTTTAGTTCTTTGTATATTCTAGACATTAATCTTCTGTCACATATATAGCAGACAAAGATTTTTGTCCCATTCTGTAGGTACCTCTTCAGTCACTTAATAGCAAAATTAAATAAAATATAGAATGCAGGAATAGAATCAGTATCATAAAGAGCAGGGCTGGAGCAGGGCTGGAAGTAGGGAAGACTCTGGAAGCACAATCATATCCGCCCTTGATGCGCTGTGACTTTTGCCCTCTACCACAGGTGAACATGGCTTCTTACTTCCATGCTTGCGATAGAGACACAGTAGTCCAACTAACCTAAATAATGTCGAGATCTGTACTGCACAGATGGCCTTCTTCTACCTTAAAGAGTGTTAACTTAGATATAGTTTTCAGTCGTAGAAGTGATTCTCATGAGTAATAGAGAAAGAATGACCCCTGAGCAAGGTCTCGTGTGCCTGCCTCTACATGGCAGCTGTGTGCCTGCCTGCATAGGCGATCCAATCCTTTGAAATTGACATCAGTACTACACCTCTGAGTTCTGGTGTTCCTAATTCTAAAGGGATTTAAATAGCTATTTTATATGGATAAGATTAACATAAGGGAGGAATACATAGGTCTTAAATGTATAATTTATTATTTTTATTATAGCACCATTTTGAAATCAAATTTAATGAGGGATAATTTGAATATGATAAAATATACCAGTTTTTAATGTATTATATAAGCTAAGAGTTTGCTAAGAAAATATTATCATCCCATCACGTTGTAGGACATTTCTATTGCACCAAATGGTGACCTTTGCAATTATTCTCAGTCAGAAGCACCATTCAGTCTGCTTTCTCTTAATACAGGTTAATCTGGCCAGTTCTATAGTGACATTTGAATGAAATAAATCTAAAGTGCTTGTTTTTATCTGGCTTCTTTCATTCGTCTTACCATCACATTTATCCTTAACACATAGTTATTCTAAGGATACTATGATTGTTACTGGTTTGAGTTATTATGAACAAGATGCCATGCATACTCTAAATAAAATGGCCAGTTGGAGAACTTCATCATATAGCTGGAATGCCATGGGCTACTATCTGTATGAATGGAAGTAAATCCACTCCGTGGAAAATCACTGATAAGCATAGCATCTTGCTAAATAGCAAAGAAGGAAACATTTTATGTGAGAAATTATCATCATGGCAGCTTAAATATGTGCTGAGTTTTGCAAAAAACGCAAGCACATTATTTCTTGGATGTGTTAGCTTCAATCAAAGCTTACAGTTTCAAAGTACAAAACCAAAAGGGAAATCGAATGCCATGTGTAACAAACAGCAGCAGGGGGAGGAGAGAAAGGAAGATAGATAAAGGAGTGTGGACCATATGACGAAACAAGGAGAAAGAAGAAAGGAAAGAAAGATGAGGTAAATCATTACCAACTATACCAAATTCTACAGAAGTTCTGTCTGCAGACGTAAGAATAATAGTCATAGAACTTCGGTCTCAGAGATGTAATCTTAAGAGTGTGAGTAAAGGTACTAATTAGTTATAAACTTGGTCACAAAACCTAATGATGAGAAGTAAAACCTAAAATTAAATTAAAATTATGTAAAAGCCACTTAAGCAAACCATATCTGGTAATATTTATCAAAGATTGCACATCATAATTGGGAGTAACTGGGAGTGCTGTGTAGTTTGTTTCAAAATTGACCTAATTTAATACCCAACAGTGTGCTAGAAAGCAAGAAGTGGAGAAATAAATTTGAAAATAAGAAATAAAACTGCTACAGTTTCCAGATAATGAGACTGTCTATTTAGAAAACGTGAGAAGGACCTAATATTCAAAATAATACAAGGTTTTAGCAGGTTTTCTGAATACTTGGTATTAAAATATAACATGTACTTGAATGTCTACAAATAAAGGGCAAATTTTAAGTCTTAAAATATCACATTACTAGATGTCAAGAAATAAAGGGTATGGGAGATCCTCAAAGGGGCGATACATTTTTATTGAAATGTGTTAAATCAAGTGTATGTAAGGTAAAGAAATTTCATCCAGAGATTGAAAGACTTAGAGCTACACTGAGTCAGTGTTCTCCAAGTTGATGAACACATTTACTCCAGTTCTGCTGAAAATCTAGAGGTATTTCAATGGCTTTGGTAGACAGTTTTTAAAATATATGTGAAAGAATAACACAATAAGACAACCCTATTAATGCCTTAAAAGAGATTGTTGCTATTGGATTGCTGTAATTCAGACAGCAGAGAGAATGAATAGGCAGACTAATAAGTAATCTAGATACAAGAATTGACATAGGTATTCTGTAGTAGCTGAAAAACAACTGACAAAAACACATCACTAAATGGGAGAAAACAAGTGAAGTTGAACTCCCGTCCCAGTCTATAGATCCCACTGCAGGTGGATTGGTCAATCAACTATGAGAAGTGAGGCTAAAGTGAAGAAGACGGAGAGTGTTGTCCATCTGTCTTTAGTTTGAAATGGAAAAGTTCCATTAAAAATGTACTGAGAAGAGGGCAACATTATAGTTAGGAAATACATGTATCAAACCAACACTTTAAAGACAGTGAACCAGTATGCCAGGAAGTAAAAGTATTGAAGGCATTAATATAGCAAATAGTAAGCCACCGATGTGTCACTGGCTTGAGCAGACATGCCCCAAAAGAAGCCATGGCCCAGATGGTAACCAACTCTACTGCTGACAGCCAGGAAGTAGACATTTAAAACCAAAGTGGATACCATTTGAGACCTGTGGAACTGATTTAAGTTGGATATTTTATGTTCGAAGAAGATGAGAAGGATAACTCTTATTCTGTGCACACAGGAAAATACATTGGCTCAGCCACTTTGAAAAAACAATTTGTTACTGTCAAACAAAATTCATCCAAAAATTCTATCTTTTGTTAAACATCTTAGTAAAATAAAAATGTCATACACATAATTCATAGCTTACATAATATAGTCTTTTAACAGGAAAATGGATGACACCCAACATATTTGTTATCATGAGTGTGCATATATACTGTGGTATAGTCACATGGGTCAGCAGTATGTGAGTACTGTATCAGCAGCTCACAACCAG